TCCGGGTCTGGTCTTGACCGGACGGATACTGGAATCAGCAATGGATACCCACATAACCTGAAGGTTCTGCTGTGCAATGCCAGATCAATGATTCGTAAGACCACTGCCATCCATGACTTGATCGTGGATGGAGGACTGGACCTAGCATGTGTGACAGAGACATGGTTGGATGAAGCATATGGGCCTGTCCTTGCCGCTGCTTGTCCACCTGGCTTCTCTTACGCACAGCAACCCAGGTCATGTGGGCGGGGAGGGAGGGGGTTGCAGTGATTTTTAGGAAGTCATTAGTCTGCACCAGGCGTCCTATTGGGAAGACCCAGTTCTCTGAGTGCATGTTCTAGAAGCTGGGCAATAGGGGCAGTACAGGATTCCTTTTGGTGTCCTGACCTCCCCGCTGCACCAAGGATTCCCTGCCCAAGCTGCTTCAGTTTGTGGTGAATGTTCTCTTGGAGACACCTAGTTTGGTTGTCCTAGGGGATTTTAACATTCACGCCAACACGACCTTGCAAGGGACCTCTCGGGACTTTGTGGAAACTATGGCCTCCATAGGACTGCCCCTGAATTAGCCTGGCCCAGCTCATAGCCTTTGACCTCTATGGATGTTGGTGATCTGACACTAATAAAAGCGAAACGAAAGAAGTGCCATAGTCAGATCACTTCCTGGTGCAACTGGACTTCTCCGTGACCCTTCCCCTCTGCAGGGGGGTGGGACCGATTTGGATGGTCCGCCCCCGCCACTTAATGGATCTAAATGGTTTCCAGAGAGTGGTAGGGGATGCTTTATCCCATGTTGATGGCCTTTTAGCTGATTCCCTGGTGGCCCACTGTAATGTGGAGTTAACCAGGGCTATTGACTGTTTGGCTCTGATGCGCCATCTCCGATTGCGTGGAGCCTGGGCAGCTCCATGGTTTTCCACCGGTCTAAGGGCAATGAAACAATCACTGAGATGGCTAGAGTGCTGGTGGTGGATGACTCATTCTGCATCTGACCGCATATGGGCTAGAGCTCAATGTCAAGCCTTCCAAGTGGCAATAGTGACGATGAAGAAGACCACTGCCTTTATTGCATCTGCAGAAAACAGCAGCAGGAGACACTTTCAGGTGGTGCGCAATTTAGCGGAACCACCTGCTCCATCGGGGCCCAGTACGGGCCACATGATCTCCTGTAGTGATTTTGCAGTTTTTTGCAGCAGAGGAGCTATGACACTTGTGTCCAGGGCAGCTGTTTACCAACTTCATCTGGTACACAGGCTGAGACCTTGCTTGACTGCAGACTGTCTCATCAGAGGTGCTAATCCAGAATGCGGCAGCTAGACCGGTGACTGGGAGTGGCTGCCAAGACCACATAACACCAGTCTTGAAAGACCTACATTGGCTCCCAGCACGTTTCGGAGCACAATTCAAAGTATTGGTGCTGACCTTTAAAGCCCTAAATGGCCTCAGCCCAGTATACCTGAAGGAGCGTCTCCACTCCCATGCGTCTCCACTCCCATCGTTCTGCCTGGACACTGAGGTCCAGCGTTGAGGACCTTTGGCAGTTCCCTTGCTGCAAGAAGCCAAATTACAGGGAACCAGGTAGAGGGCCTTCTCGGTAGTGGCACCTGTCCTGTGGAATGCCCTCCCACCAGATGTCAAAGAGAAAAACAACTACCAGACTTATAGAAGACATCTGAAGGCAGCCCTGTTTAGGGAAGCTTTTAATGTTTGACGGACTATTGTATTTTAATATTTTGTTGGAAGCCGCCCTGAGTGGCTGGGGAAACCCACACAGATGGGTGGGGTATAAATAATAAATAATTGTGATTATTACTGAAAGTCACATATTTGTTGTCTGGTTTGAGAAATCTGTGACAAAGTTGTGAGATCTGCAGTTGCTGCCCCCAGACTGAGAAAGTTCATTGAGGAAAACATGGTGGACTGTAAATATTTAATTGGGAATGAAATCTAAAAACTTATTTGTGTGTGTGTGTGTGTGTGTGTGTGTGTGTGTAATATAGGCTGATACTGTATTTTAAAGCTGTACAGTGGTACCTCGGGTTAAAAACTTAATTCGTTCTTGGGGTCTGTTCTTAATCTGAAACTGTTCTTAACCTGAAGCACCACTTTACCTAATGGGGCCTCCCGCTGCCGCCGCGCCGCAATTTCTGTTCTCATCCTGAAGCAAAGTTCTTAACCCGAGGTACTATTTCTGGGTTAGCGGAGTCTGTAACCTGTAGCATCTGTAACCCGAGGTACCACTGTATTTATGTATATATTGCATATGGCCATAATGGTTCAGTCAACAATAAACATGTACAGCTTGTAGGCTTTTGCAGATACAGTTACGTTCAGATAGATGCAGTGTATAGGCAAAAGTCAGTAACAACAAAATAGTATTTCTCATGCCTTAACATGTTAGAAGCTGATTGTTTACTGCCGCAAAATGCTGCATTTGGCTGTATACCCCCAAACACCAGAGGAGCTATGACATTTGTGTAGCAATAATAATAATTTATACACCGCCCATCTGGCTGGGCCTCCCCAGCCACTCTGGGTGGCTCCCAACAGAATATTAAAAGCACGATAAAACATCAAACGTTAAAAACTTCCTTAAACTTGGCTCCTTCAGCTGTCTTCTAAAATTCAGATAGTTGTTTATTTCCTTGACATCTTATGGGAGGCCGTTCCACAGGGCGGGTGCTACTACCAAGAAGGCCCTCTGCCTGGTTCCCTGTATCCTCTTTTTGCAGTGAGGGAACCGGCAGGAGGCCCTCGGAGCTGGACCTCAGTGTCCAGGCTGAACGATGGGGGTGGAGACGCTCCTTCAGGTATACTGGGCTGAGGCCAATTAGGGCTTTAAAGGTCAGCACCAACACTTGGAATTGTGCTTGGAAACGTAATGGGAGCCAATGTACGTCTTTCAGGACAGGTGTTATGTGGTCTCAGTGGCCAGTCCCAACTATATTTTGGTGCGTGGGTATTCCGTTACCTAGTTTTATTTTGATCTCCGGTCAGGACCTCCTTCATGAATTTCCACATCATGTGTGCTATTCTAAGCCGGGAAACCAAGGTCCCTCGTGGAGGTTTGTTTCCCTGTCTGCATGCACCATTTTAGAGGCACACTTGGAAAGGACTCAGTTGGATCCAAAATAGCCAATCCAAACTCAAGATTCTGTCAGGTATTCTGTCATTTGAAAATATTTAAAGCACTCATCTTTTTACAGCCTCTGGACCTCTCTTCTCAGCTGATTTCACAAAATATGTGCATCTTTAATTTTTTTCCTAATTCTGATTTCAACCAGGATCTTTGAAACAATTGCAATTCCTTGCCTCTTAATGCCGCCTGCCTTTTAGAATTTATAACCATGGCAACCCCTTTGTAAGCCGCCTTGGCTCTCGGTCTGGGAGAAAGGCGGGATATAAATAAGTAGAATACTAAAGGTGAGGATAAAGCTGCACTTGAACTCGGATCTTGCTTGGAGCACCTGCGGAGGAGGGATTCTGTCCTGGGGGCGCCGCTGGCCTGATCCTGCAGCCGGGTTTCCCCTTCCTGCTTCAGAGCCGGAGACCAGCCGGGCGCTCCTCCTCCCTCTCTGCCCGGAGCAGCCAAGAGGCTCCTACCCCGCGGCTCCGCAAGGGTTAACTGGGGCGATAGAGCTTCTATTCCTAGAGCGGAAGAGAAGACTGGGAGAGAGGAGGCGCTTCCGCTTCCTGTTCCGCTTCGCCGGGTTGATGCTGTCCTTCCTGGAGGCGGGTAACTGGGGGGAGTCGGCCGACCCAGGGGCGGGATTGGGGGGCGAGAGGGAGGGAGCCGCGTCCCTCCTGGGGGGAACTCAGGGGCGACGGGGAAAGGTCGTCTTCTCCTGGGAGGGGAAGCGGGAGGCCGAAGCGACGCTGCTCGCTGGCCTTGACCGGCCTCTGGCCTCATCCTGCGGCCTTTCCTCCCGCTCCTCTGTCCAGAGAAAGCAGAAGGAGCGCCCAGCAAAGGCCGCAGGGCAGGGAATGGGGAGGAATGGCAAGGAGTCAGGAGAGTCTCCTGCCAGCCAGGGAGGAGCAGGAGGAATAATTATTATTTTATTCCTTCATACCCCGCCCATTTAGCCGGGTTTCCCAGCCACTCTGGGCAGCTCCCAACAGAAAATTAAAAGCACTATAAAAGATCAAACATTAAAAGCTTTCCTCAACAGGGCTGCCTTCAGATGTCTTTTAAAAGTCAGATAGTTGTTTATTTCCTTGACATCTGATGGGAGGGCTTTCCACAGGGGGGGGGGGCACTACCAAGAAGGCCCTCTGCCTGGTTCCCTGTAACCTCACTTCTCGCAGGGAGGGAACCGCCAGAAGGCCCTTGGAGCTGGGCCTCAGTGTCAGGACTGAGCGATGGGGTGGAGATGCTCCTTCAGGTATACTGGGCTGAGGCCATTTGGGGCTTTAAAGGTCAGCACCAACACTTTGAATTTTGCTCAGAAACATACTGGGAGCTAATGTAGGTCTTTCAGGTCTTAGTTAGCTGCTGCTCCCAGTTACGAGTCTAGCTGCTGCATTCTGGATTTGATCTAGTTTCCGGGTCACCTTCAAAGGTAGCGCCCCATAGAGTGCAGAAGGAGCTGCAGACTCTATGGCAGGAGAGCATCCTCCTCAGTTAAGACTCTTTAGCATTTTATTGTATCGAAGGCCATAGGTCCACTGCAAATTAAACCATGAGAAAAAACTTTTCCTCTGCAAAATGTATGTACTAAACATATATCATTAAAAAAGGTGGGCCCCTGGGGATATAACTAGCCATTTGCAGCTGTAGTAATTTTATCTTATGTTCAAGATTTCTAAACACCTGATCCAAAAGGTCTCTCAAGTGGCACAGTGATCCAATGGGAGCTAGAACACAACTAAAAGCCACAAACCAATTTAGAAACCAGTATGCATAAGCCATCATTGAAAAATTTATCCCTCTCCACTTCCCATTTTGCCTCTTGGGCAGCATGTATGGTCTTTACACACCTGAGGAAGGAGGGAGTATGGGGTGGGACAAAACACTCATTTCTCCCAGTCTTAAATTTAGTTATCCAGATTTTCACGTCTTATTAAAAAACAAACACAGACTGAAGGTCAAATCTCCAGTTGCCCCATCTATCATCGGAAGGGGAGCTGAGGGGAGATGGTTTCCACACCTTGCCTTGGAGTGTCTATAAGGAAGGGAATTGTTCTGTCCTTCCAGGGATCAGTGAGCTTTGACAGGTGTCCTTGCATTTCGCTGACGACAACTGGGCCCTACGGAGAGCTCTGTACAAGGACGTCATGGTGGAGGTTCGTGAGATGGTGGCCTCTCAGGGTAAGGATCCTTTTCGCCTTCATTAATAGTTATAATAGGTATGGGTTCCTCAGGGGCTCGGAGTGCCTCCCTTCAGCTCCGCTAAAGGAGGTCACCGTGTTCGTTTTTCTCCGAAGTTAAAGGCCAGAAGCCTGGCTGAGAGTAAACATTCTTGCTTCTCTGCTACAATTAGCCAGTGATGGCTTCTGGGTTGCCTCTCTGTGGAAGGGCATTCTTTAGGTGGGGAGCCAGCACTGAAAGACGCATTCCGTATTGCCTCTCTTTGCCCCTCAGCTGGAGAGGGCACTGTGAGAAGGACCTCAGACGATGAGTGCAGGCTCTAGGTGGATTCATGAGAAGCAGCCATTGAGCTACATAAGTCAAAATCGGCACCTTGAATTGAAGACAGCAACCCAGAAAGGGTTTTATGTGCTCAGAGCCTCTTGCACCGGTCATCACTCTGTAGTTTCTGAACGGTCTTCTAAAGCAGCCTGAAGTATAATGCATTGTGGCAATCTAGCGTGGAGAATGGTAGAAAAAGCATACTAAAAATCTTCTATGTGGGGGACCCTAATTTGTAGACTACTTGAGTATCTTGTTATTGGTTTCTGTTGATGTTTTGGTTTGTTTGTTGCATGTATAGAATATTCTGTTTCTTAGTATTTGATGTTTGGTTGCATTTTTATATATGCTGTAAGCCACCCAGAGTGGCTTGGGAAACCCAGCCAGACGGTTGGAATATAAATAAAATAAATGCTATTATTGTTATTATTCCTTTTGGTTTCTCAACAAGCTCTGCAGATCTAGGCATTCAAGCTTCTCTGAGTTGCAGTGCTGTATTATCAATGCTCAGGGGTGGCCTCACTTCTGCCCCCACAATGGGGGCTCAAAATCCATAAGGAGCGTACCCCTGCAAGTTGGGTCGGGTGGTTCCCCCCCCCCAGACCTCCAAGGGGTGCAGACGCCTCCCCCCCATCCATGTCAGTGTTTGTATATATAAAAAAGTTCTGACCTCCCTTTGTCGCCTCAGCCTGTTCCTCGGACTCTTGTTGGCATAAAAAAGTCCACGAGAAAAGTATCCTTGCAGAGTACTTTCTGCTTTTATTCTTAAAAGTCTTTCTGCAAAAGCGGTTGACCAACTGTACACACCTCAACACTACCAGCTTTCACTAACCAACCAACCAAACCAAACCACAAATTAACATTTCTCACTCCATATATACAACCCGGGTGCAGGCCGCTGACTCATGCTGACCCAGCTTTTTAAGCATTAAAGAAACAGCGACCAATTTTTAGCCGTGACAACTCACTGGCAAAGAGCCTTTTCAGATCCTGACAAAGTTGAGAGGCCGGGGAGACTAGCAGCAAAGCTGAGCAGTGACACCCCTTTGGGGGTGACACCTGAGGCAGCCGCCTCACACAGGCCCAGAGGCAGGCAGTCTCTGTTGATATTATTGCCTGCTGGTTTAAATTGTGCTATTTATGGCTTGGTTAATCTTAGAGACTGCTCACCAGAACTTTTCTGATACAAATAACCCTTCATTAAATGGTGATATTTTATTAAAGCCAGGTATCACAGCATTTGTTTTTATGTAAAACGCCTTTAACATAGTCCCAGGCCTTGAGTTTTGATAAGGAAACAGCTGTATCAACCTTTCTTTTGAAATTTTTATTCCATCAGGAGATGTTTGGGGGGTCCTGGATGAGGAGGAACCACCAGAGGTCTGGCCAGAAAGAGGTGAGGAGCAAGAGAAGGAAAGGAAGTTGGGGGTTCAAGATGGAGCCAACAAACAAGAGGGGAGAGAAACAGTGAAGCCAAGGGATGAACACAGTGTTTCCCAAGAAGATGAAAATCAGATTAACAGGGTGGAGAAAAAACATGAATGTACTGTGTGCGGAAAGAGATTCTGTAGTCGCTCAGCCCTTGCTAGACATCAAAGCGTACACTCAGGTGAAAAACCTTATAAATGCCTGGAGTGTGGAAATAACTTCAGTCGGAGTTCCTCCCTTAATGTGCATCAAAGAACTCATACAGGGGAGAAACCATATACATGCATGGAGTGTGGAAAGAGCTTCAATCAAAGTTCCTCCCTTAATGTGCATCGAAGATCTCATACAAGTGAAAAACCTTATAAATGCATGGAGTGTGGAAAGAGATTCAGAAACAGTGGCCACCTTAATGTGCATCGAAGATCTCATACAGGGGAGAAACCAAATACATGCATGGAGTGTGGAAAGAGCTTCACTCACAGTGCCTCCCTTAATGTGCATCGAAGATCTCATACAGGTGAAAAACCTTATAAATGCATGGAGTGTGGAAAGAGATTCAGAAACAGTGGCCACCTTACTTTGCATCAAAGAACTCATACAGGGGAGAAACCTTATGAATGCATGGAGTGTGGAAAGAGATTCAGAAACAGTGACTACCTTACTTTGCATCAAAGAACTCATACAGGGGAGAAACCTTATAAATGCTGGGAATGTGGAAAGAGTTTCTTTGACAGTAGTACCCTTATTAAACATCAAAGAACTCACACAGGGGAAAAACCATATACATGCATGGAGTGTGGAAAGAGCTTCAATCAGAGTGCCTCCCTTAATGTGCATCGAAGATCTCATACAGGTGAAAAACCTTATAAATGCATGGAGTGTGGAAAGAGCTTCAGTTGCAGCAAGTCTGTTAAAATGCATCATATAATTCACACACAGGAAAACCATATAAATCCATATAAATGCATGGAGTGTGGAAAGAGCTTCAGTACCAGAAGCATCCTTATTAGACATCAAAAAACTCATACAGGGGAAAAAACCATATAAATGCCTGGAGTGTGGAAAGAGCTTCAGTCAGACTGCCTCCCTTAATGTGCATCGACGAACTCATACAGGGGAGAAACCGTATAAATGCCTGGAGTGTGGAAAGAGCTTCAGTCAGAGTTCCTCCCTTAATGTGCATCAAATAACTCATACAGGGGAGAAACCTTATGAATGCATGGAGTGTGGAAAGAGCTTCAGCTACAGTGGCTACCTTACTAAACATCAAAGAACTCACACGGGAAAAACCATATAAATGCCTGGAGTGTGGAAAGAGCTTCAGTCAGACTGCCTCCCTTAATGTGCATCGACGAACTCATACAGGGGAGAAACCATATAAATGTTTGAAATGTAGAAAAAGCTTCAGTGACTCTAACATCCTTCATGCACATAAGAGAATTCACACAGGGGACAAACCATACAAATGTTTGGAGTGTGGAAAGAGCTACCGCCGCAGTAACCACCTTTCTCGACACTGGAGAACTCCTTCAGGGGACTAACCCTATGAAAGTTGATGTGTGGAAAGAGCTTCAGTTATAGTAGTTTCTTTACTGTGCATGAAAGAACTCATACAGGGGACAAACAACATACATTTTTGGGGTGTGGAAGGAGATCTAGTTGCAACAGCTGTCTAGTTATAAGTTGCCAATTGTTGTTTAGTCGTTTAGTCGTGTCCGACTCTTCGTGACCCCATGGACCAGAGCACGCCAGGCACTCCTGTCCTCCACTGCCTCCCGCAGTTTGATCAAACTCATGCTGGTAGCTTCAAGAACACCATCCAACCATCTCATTCTCTGTCGTCCCCTTCTCCTTGTGCCCTCCATCTTTCCCAACATCAGGGTCTTTTCCAGGGAGTCTTCTCTTCTCATGAGGTGGCCAAAGTATTGGAGCCTCAGCTTCACGATCTGTCCTTCCAGTGAGCGCTCAGGGCTGATTTCCTTCAGAATGGAGAGGTTTGATCTCCTTGCAGTCCATGGGACTCTCAAGAGTCTCCTCCAGCACCATAATTCAAAAGCATCAATTCTTCGGCGATCAGCCTTCTTTATGGTCCAGCTCTCACTTCCAGACATCACTACTGGGAAAACCATGGCTTTTACTATACGGACCTTTGTTGGCAAGGTGATGTCTCTGTTTTTTAAGATGTTTTCTAGGTTTGCCATCACCTTTCTCCCAAGGAGCAGGCGTCTTTTAATTTCGTGACTGCTGTCACCATCTGCACTGATCATGGAGCCCAAGAAAGTAAAATCTCTCACTGCCTCCATTTCTTCCCCTTCTATTTGCCAGGAGGTGATGGGCCCAGTGGCCATGATCTTCGTTTTTTTGATGTTGAGCTTCAGACCATATTTTGCGCTCTCCTCTTTCACCCTCATTAAAAGGTTCTTTAATTCCTCTTCACTTTCTGCCATCAAGGTTGTGTCATCTGCATATCTGAGGTTGTTGATATTTCTTCCGGCAATCTTAATTCCGGCTTGGGATTCATCCAGCCCAGCCTTTCGCATGATGAATTCTGCATATAAGTTAAATAAGCAGGGAGACAATATACAGCCTTGCCGTACTCCTTTCCCAATTTTGAACCAATCAGTTGTTCCGTATCCAGTTCTAACTGTAGCTTCTTGTCCCACATAGAGATTTCTCAGGAGACAGATGAGGTGATCAGGCACTCCCATTTCTTTAAGAGCTTGCCATAGTTTGCTGTGGTCAACACAGTCAAAGGCTTTTGCATAGTCAATGAAGCAGAAGTAGATGTCTTTCTGGAACTCTCTAGCTTTCTCCATAATCCAGCGCATGTTTGCAATTTGGTCTCTGGTTCCTCTGCCTCTTCTAAATCCAGCTTGCACTTCTGGGAGTTCTCGGTCCACATACTGCTTGAGCCTTCCTTGTAGAATTTTAAGCATAACCTTGCTAGCATGTGAAATGAGTGAAATTGTGCGGTAGTTGGAGCATTCTTTGGCACTGCCTTTCTTTGGGATTGGGATGTAGACTGATCTTCTCCAATCCTCTGGCCACTGCTGAGTTTTCCAAACTTGCTGGCATATTGAGTGTAGCACCTTAACAGCATCATCTTTTAAAATTTTAAACAGTTCAGCTGGAATACCATCACTTCCACTGGCCTTGTTATTTGCAGTGCTTTCTAAGGCCCATTTGACTTCACTCTCCAGGATGTCTGGCTCAAGGTCAGCAACCACACTACCTGGGGTGTACGAGACATC